CTCACTCCTTTCTTTATATCAAATTGTTCAGTTGTATCTCCATTAATTTGTATTTTTGCTGTTTGGGTGTTGTATATTTTTTTAATCATTTTTATAAATCTTTCTCCAAATTTCATTTTTTCTAATTGTGCTAATAGAAATGTCCAGTTGAGATTATCAAACGCTTTTTGCGCATCTAGGAAAATTAGAGCTAACTGGTTTTCCGATCTTTGCTCATAGAATTCCAGAGTGTCAATAATTGTTCTTGTATTGTTATGAATTTGTCTTCCAGGAATAAAACTATTTTGATCAGGATGTATATAGTATTTGATTAGGTTTTTCAATCTCTGCGTTATAATTGATGTGAATAGTTTATAATCTACGTTGAGAAGAGAAATTGGTCTATAATTTTTAATTTCCGTGGGATCCGAATCTTGTTTTGGTATTAATGTGATGATTGTTTCATTCCATGACTTCGGAATTTCAGCTTCCATTAATGCATCATTGAAAACTTGTATTAATATATCATCTAATGGTTGTTGGAATGTCTTATAAAACTCTGCCGCTATACCGTCAGTTCCCGGTGTCTTGTTATTTTTTTTGTTTCTTCCTCGTTTCTATTAATTCTAACATTGAGATTGGTCTGTTCAATAATTCTATATGTTCTTCTTCTAATTCTTGAATCTTTATTTTATTTAAATATTCTATGATATTTTCTTCTCTAATCTCTTCCTTTGTGTATAAGTTTTTGAAAAATTCCTTTGCAATTCGTTTTTTGTCTTCAATATTCTGGTATAAACAACCATCTACATCTTTTAACTGTATTATAATATTCCTCTGTTTTTCTATTTTCAATTTATATGCTAACCACCATCCGGTTTTGTTTGCATGTTCAAATTGGTTTTGTTTAGCGATTTTTATTTTTCTTGCTATTTCTGTTGTTGTGATCAAAGTTAATTTATGCCTTGTTAAACTTATTTTCTCCTTAATTTCTTGGTTATATGGCTGTTTCTGTAGATCTAATTCATATTGATGTAATATTGTCTGTAAATTTTGTTTTATTTGTTGTTTGTTTTTATTTTTTTGTGCAGTATAGGCAATTGTTCAGCCTCTGATATATGCCTTGGTTGTGTCCCATAGATTTTGTAGACTGGTGTGCTCTTTAACATTAATTTGTAGAAATATTTTCAATTCTTTTTGGATCATATCCATATATTGTTTGTCATTTATAATATCTCTATCCATCATCCATCTTTTATGCTTTTGGTGTCCCTTCCATGTTATTTCAATGGGGCTATGATCAGCCCATGTGTTCGTTGTAATTTCTATTAGTTTAATGTCTGCTATAAGCTCTGCCGTCATCCAAGCCATGTCAATTCTGGACCACGATTTGAATAGAATGTGTATTGTTGTTTATTATAATTGAGTTCCCTCCAGGCATCTTGTAATTGAAATTCTTCTACTGTATCATAAAATGTTTCTGGAAGTGTTTTTTCTTGGATTTATTATGTTTCAAACTCCTATAGTCCTTCCCTATGTTTACAATTGCATTAAAATCTCCAATTATGCATACGTTTTGGTATTCCAGTTCCTTAATTTTGTTGTGCATCTTTTTAAAATAATCAATTTGGGTTCCATTTGGTGCATAAAGTGATACTAGTAATATCTTCTTCTTTTCTGTTTCAATTTCAACCATCAACGTCCTACCCTCCTCATCTGCAAATAATTGCTTTGATTGTATATGATTCCGGATGTACATTGCTATACCTCTCTTTTTTTGTTCTGTTAGTGCCGTATAAAGTTTTCCTAATCATTTGTTTTCTAATAAACTGTGCTGTTGTTTTTTAATATGAACTTCTTGTAATGTTATAATATCTATCTTCAATTTTTGTAAATTTCTGAAAATACGTGATCTCTTTGATGGAATGTTTAGTCCATTTATGTTAATCGATATCAATTTTAAATCTTTCTCCATTTCAAATTTCTATTTTCTTGATGTTCTTATTTTCCTAGTGTTTTTTTTCTGTAATTTGTATTTTATCCCTTGCTCCCTCTCTTTCCATTCTTTCTTTCTCCCCTCTTTTTCTTCCTCCTTGCTGTATTTTTCTCGGTTTGTCCTCCTGATTTGCAATTTCTTGCTGTGTTTCAGATTCTTGTTCTTCCTCAGGAAAAAAATTGCTGTGCTTTCTCTAGTGTATCAAGTTTATATTTTTTATCTTGCCATGAAACAAGCAGTCCCTCTGGTGTTAACCACCGGAACATTATTTTATGTTTGTGTAATTCTGTTGTCAGAAAGTTATAATTTTTCCTTGTTTCTCTTATTCTTCTTGGTATTTGTTTTAATGTAATTATTTCTTTTCCCTTATATATAATTGGTTTTTCTCTCATTTTTTTGTATATTTCCTCTTTCATCAACTTCCTTGCAAATCTAAGGTGAACCTCTTTTGGTAACTTGTTTCTTCGGGCGTAATTTGTGAATACTCTATAGATTTCATCAATTTCCTTATTAATTTCTTCTTTATTCTTTAATGTCACTTCAGCCAGAATTCCCACCATTACATCTCTCAAATCTTCCTCTATGTTTTCCACTATATTTTGAAATCTTAGGTAAAATAACGCCTTTTCCATTTCTAAAAATGAAATTGAATCTTCCAGTTCTTTGTTTATTGTTGTTTGATCACATTCTGACTCTTCTATCTTTTTTTCTACTTTGCCAATCTTATCTTTAATATTTTGGATCCGTTGTTCATTTTTAGCAATATTTTGTTGAATTTTCTCCACCTTATTATCCATTTTTTTTTAGCTTATCCTTAATTTCACCTATGTCCATTTTCAAATCCTCATGGTTTTTCTTACTTTCTTGATGATTATCAGCAATTGATTGCTGTGTTTTGTTCATACTCTCTTGTATCATTGCTAATACTGAGTGAATGTTTTTGATGTTAATTGATTAAGGAGATTTCTCTTTTTCTGGAAGTAACATTGTGTCTATTGTTTTCTGTTGTGCTGATGATGTAATAGACATTGCTTGATTGGCTATTGCCTTTTTACCTGGTTTTGTCATTATTGATGAGCCAGTAGTTGTCATCTTAATTTTCTAATTTATAGTTCCCAAATTTTCACGCACTGTCTGTAGTATATAGTAAGTTTTCCTTCTGATAATTACAGAAGCCAATATCACTTGTTTAGTTTTCAAATACAGTCTAATTTCTGTAAATCAAACTATAATATCATTATATGAGGGATTAATTAAATTTAAATGAGGAGCAGGGATAAAATATGATATCTCAGCAAGTCATATTTCAGTTTCTAAATTAAATATTCTATTTAAATATATTATTAATTCTATTAAGTTCTATTAAATCTTTAGTTATATCTCTATTAAATTTTATCAATTTTAATATATTTATTCTTATTTAAATCAATATATGTCAATATTAATAATCAATTTTCAATTCATTCTTTTAACACCATATCAATTTTTAAATTAATATTAAATTGTGTCACATAAAAATTTTTAGAATAGGAAATAAGATAAAACAGAAATAAGAAAAAACAGATATGCTATGTGTTATATTATTATATCTATTCAAAACTTATATATTCCAACTTTTCTTACTTATATTAGAAAGTATATATTTAACATTTAAACTTAAGTAATCCTAAACCTTATGCTATTTGGGCTATAATATTATATACTATATTCTATAATAAAACATTAAGTATTACATAAATAAACAAATAAATAGATAAAAGTACTTAAAAGTACTTAAAATATTATTAAAATAATTCAATTAAAATAATTCAAATAAATTAAGTCTCTCAAACAATAAAATAAATTTCTTTCATTGTATTAGGTTCCAGAATATATTAGAAAGTATGTATTTTACATTTAAATTTAAGTAATCCTAAACCTTATGATATTTGGGCTATAATATTATATACTATATTCTATATTAAAACATTAAGTATTACATAAATAAACAAATAAATAGATAAAAGTACTTAAAATATTATTAAAATAATTCAAATAAATTAAGTCTCTCAAACAATAAAATAAATTTCTTTCATTGTATTAGGTTCCAGAATTGAAGTCGTTGCAATCCTCACTTGGTTTTGTGTCTTTTCAGTCGTCTAGTTTGTAATTGTTTCCAAAGTCCTTCAATTTGCCTTCTAAAAATATTTTAAACACCTCTTCCAGAGCCTCAATGTTTTTTATTTATTTGCAAGTTAATACTCTAATATAGTTACAGTGTCTGTTCACTGAAGCTCTGCCACCGTTACAAAGTTTTTAAATCCCTCACAGTCACTCCCAAAACTAGATACTGTTTCTTCTTCGTCTCTTCTTTATTGTCTCCGCACCACCTCCGTTTCTTCTTTTAAAATAAGTCCAACACTTGGATCTGTATTCCTTTCCCCAAATGAATAGTCTTTGTCTATTTCCCAATTTCTGTCTGGTAAATCTATAACTATGTGTTTTATTTCCAATCCACACCTCTCCATTGCGCTTCCTCAAAATCGCCTCAGTTCCGTTGCCTGTCAGTTTCGCCCCCTCACACTTCAATTAGCCTTGTTAACTCACTCCGTTATACTTTCACTCCATTTCTTCTTAACAATTCTGCTTTGCCGATCAGTTTGAAGTTTGTCTTTTAGTTATGTATCCGTTGTTTTAAATATTGTGTCTTTCAAAGTTTTTCAGAATAAGAGTAATCAGCGTTCTGGCCAACCGACAAGAGGTTGGGTTTTTTCTGGGCTGAATTAAGGGACTTTCCTTGAACCTTCAGGGCAATTTTTGATACCTCCGAGGTCCTCAGGATTTTCCCTTTAATCTATTGACCTCTTCGTGGTCAATAGAGCTAAAAAATTCAGCTTTCAGACCGAAAATTGGGACCTAGGGAACGGAGCGCTGTCCCCTCTGTTCCTATCACGCTGACGTCACCAACGGAAGTCTCCCCTGTAGGCACAGTCTTTCTATTCCTTTTTTGAAAAGTTTTGCTAAGTCAGAAAGATCACATGGGGTATTAATTTCTCTTTATGAGTTGCTCCCTGTGGTTGAGCTCAGGCTGTACAAAAATAATGTAGCACTTTGGCAAGAATATGCATCCCAGTAGTGCAGCCCCGGAGGACAAGATGGAGAAGACCTCCACAGCTACCATGGCTTTTCCTTTTGTGCTCAGATAGGCTGGAAAGAAGGAGATCCATACACTGCAAAAGGCCAACATGCTGAAGGTAATGAACTTGGCTTCATTAAAGCTGTCAGGTAATTTTCGGGCAAGGAAAGCCACAATAAAGCTGGCAATGGCCAAGATTCCCATGTAGCCCAAGACACAGTAGAAGAAGAAAGCTGACCCCTCGTTGCACTGTAAAATAATTTCTTGGAGCTCTGAGTGCATGTCCAACTCAGGGAATGGGGGAGATGTTGACAACCAAAGAATACAAATGCATACTTGTAAGAGAGAGCATGAGAGGACAATAGAAAAGGCCAATCTTTTCCCCACCCATCTCCTCATCTGAGATCCTGGTTTCGTGGCCATGAAAGCAACAACTACAGTGATGGTTTTAGCCAGCACACTTGAAATGGCCACAGAGAAAGTGACACCAAACATTGATTGTCGGAGAAGGCAGGTTACTTTGCTAGGTTGGCTGAGGAAGAATAAAGAGGAGAGAAAACAGAGCTGAAGAGAGACAAGCAGCATGTAGGTGAGGAACCTGTTGTTGGCTTTGACAATAGGAGTATCCCTGTACTTAACAAATGTTCCAAGCACCCAAGATGTCAGGAAGAAGAAACCAAGAGCTGCTGAAGCTAAACCAATTCCTAAGGTTTCTTTAAAATTTAGAAAGACCAGCACTTTCAGGATACAGCCTTTCTTTTCTTTATTTGGATAATGATCTTCTGAACATTCAAAACAGTCATCCATTTCTGGAAGAAAAATGAAGGAATTTGTCAGCTAGGTATTCCAAGTTATTAGAAATCCCTTTAATAATTTTTTGCATCCCAAACAACTATATTAAACTCTAATGAAAAATGGTAGAATGCGTAACCTACCATTTTGATCTGAAATCTTCCCTTCAGGGCATGGAGCACAGTCATAGCAGCAGAACTGATTTCCCTCGATCCCCTTCTTCCAGGATCCAGGGAAACAAGGATCATTGCACCGAGAAAGTGGAGGAACCTGGTGATAAGCATAAAAGGTTTTGAAATTGGTGATATTTAAATCACATTGTTCAATTTTTCAACTTCATCAACTTAAAAAGATGTGGAAATTGCAATGATGTAGGAAAGGTCCTGTTTGAAGGGCAGGGCATGTAAATAATTGCACATAGTGGCAATCTCATGCAAAAGTTACCACTCTAGTGATGTCTGATTCAAATTCAAACCAAAAATGCAAACATGCCTTTTACATTGTAATATCATATTGTCAATTTGAGGAACGTCTGATCATCAACAAGATTTGAAAAGATTATGCCATTGTTTATTTTTAAAAAAACAACAGAAATTAGTTTTCTAAACTGACTACGTTCAATATGAAATTATAATGTATTAATCTTAGCTGCTTCAATAATTCAATACCTGATTAAAAGTTGGGTGCCAGACAATCCCATCTTCATCAATGAATAATTCTTTTCCTTTTGGAGCCTGGAGATCCATCTTTCCAATTCTAATTCTCTGAAAGGATCTGTTTGGAAAAGTGATCAAGTTGGTGATGTCGAATCCACCTGTTGCTTCCCCTTTCTCATTCAGGAACACTCTCTCCCCAGCTGAATTGTTAAAGGAAATTCCTTGAAGAAATGAATGGAGCTACTTGAAAAACAGTGAAAGATAAAGGGAGTTGAATGCAATGTAGTAGAGAGGAGAACACCATATTCAAGTTTCATTGACTCATTCTTCGGAGTCCAATAACAATTATTAAATCTGTACCCTTAGAAATTTAAGAATTGATATTTCATAGAAATGTACAGTACATAGCCACTCCATTATTAATTTGATATTATTTTAAGGAAAAATAAGAATGAACTAAAGCAGAATGAAAATAGGCTATTGGGATTACTCAAATTTCTTTAATTCTGATTCAGGTTTATTTCTAAAACAATAATGAAACCAAGACCATAGCTAATCTTCCCTCAATGGAATAAAGATATTTTCGAAATATGACAAATTTCCTTTAGCCAGATTTGAAAATTTGAGACTCATTATTCAATAGATAGATATGAGATAGAGATTGTTGCAAACATAAGATTGTTCCAAAGCATGGATGCTACGTCTGAAAAGAACCGTCTTTTAATCCATTCTCCTTGAATTCTGATAAGGACAGAAAGCTCAGCTTGTCAATCTGAAAAATTCATCAGCCAGGAAGAAGTATTTAGAGAATTGATTGTTTTTGGAGGAAACAATTTAAAGTAACCTAAATTATCATTTTAAATATCTCGTATTGTACAAGCTATAATGAATTTCTACATAATTCCTACTGATACATGATAAAAGGTAGAGACAGGAAGTAAAGGATAAGCCATATTGGATTTATTGTAATTCTCACTAACAATGATAAAATGAAAGAAGGTGTTGAAATTACAGGAATGTTCAGTGGGAGAGACCATGCAATAACTGGAATTTAATATTATGCAAGCAGAAGCAACAGAAAAAAATCATATTGGAATCTTGGAATTCAAGAGGGCACATTTCAATATAATTAGAGAGAGCTTACGAAGGATTCCATGGATTAGAATTCTCAAGGGAAGAAAAGAACCAAAGAAACTTGGGAAAATTTGAAAAGTGAGATTATAAAAGCCCAGTCTAGCACAATCCCAATGAAGAAGAAAAACAAGAGATCTTAAAAGAAATCAGCATAGCTGAACAAACAATTCTCTGATAAACTGAAAGACACAAATGACAAGTATAAGAAGGACAAATAACTAAGGCAGAATATTAGCAAATAGCTTGAACCTGCAAAAATGAAGTCAGGAAAGCTTCGGCTCAAAATAAAGTAAGGCTTGCTACTAAAGTAAAAAAAAATAACTTTAAAAAGCATCTTTCAACATGTAAAAATCAAGAAAAGGGTCAAGGAAACAATTGGTTCATTAATGGGAGAAAACTGGGGGTTTTTTTTGCATCTGTCTTTACACAAAAGAGTCCAACCTATCTACACACACACACACACGTAAAATTCAGATGAGGAATGCAAGTCAAAATAAGCAAGGAAATGGTAAGAGAACACCTATCTGCTCTAGACAAATTCAGGTTACCAGGACCAGATGGTTTACACCACAAGGTTCAGAAGCAAGTAGAAGATATGATCACAGAACCACTGAACTATATCAAAGAATGGTTGTAGGAATGTCTAGTTTAATGAAAAGAAGGACTAGAGGTGACATGACAACAGTCTTCAAATACCTAAGGAAGTGCCACAAAGAAGAGAGGGTCAACATGTTCTCCAAAGAACCTGAAGGCAGGACAAGAAGAAATTGATAATCAAGAAGAGAACTAAGCTAGAATTAAGGAGAAATTTCCTGATGGAACAATTAATGAGTGATTTACTTCCAGAAGTTGTGGATGTTCAATTCAATATTAAGAAAAATAAGGCCATGGAATCCGGCCCCCTCAATTCCTGACAAATAGATGGGGAAGAAATCGAAGTAGTGGCAGATTTTATTCTCCTGGGCTCCCAGATCTCCGCAGATGGGAATTACAGCTCAGAAATTAAAAGATGCTTGCTCCTGGGGAGGAAAGCTATGGCAGATCTCGACAGCATACTAAAAAGTAGAGACATCACCCTGCCAACAAAAATGTGTATAGTCAAGGCTATGGTTTTCCCAGTTGCAATGTATGGCTGTGAAAGTTCGACCATAAGGAAGGCTGCAAGGTGATCAAACCGGTCAGTCCTACAAGAGATCAACCCTGACTGCTCTTTAAAAAGCCAGATCCTGAAGATGAAACTCAAATACTTTGGCCACCTAATGAGAAGGAAGGACTCACTGGAGAAGAGCCTAATGCTGGGAACGATAGAGGGCAAAAGAAGAAGGGGATTCAATGATCAGAATATGGACAATGGGAAAACAGGAACTGTATTTTATACAGAAGAAGAAAAACAGAGTTGGAAGGGTCCTTGGAAGTCTTCTACTCCAATATACTGCTCCAGGAGGAGACTTCATACCATTTTAGACAAATCATTGCCTAATCACTTTGTAAAAATCTCCAGTGTTGGAGTCTCCACAACTTCCAGGGGCAAGGTTTCCCGTAATTAATTATTTGCATTGTCAGGACATTTTTCCTTATTTATAACATGTAGAAAATATTAAGACTTTCCACAGTGGGTTCAAAAGATAATTTTACATCAAACTTTCATTGAAATAAAAGAAGTTTCCAATGCAGAGAGAATACCTGACAAGCCTGGAGATCTAGATGGCCCATTGATTTACCCATTATAGCTTTTTTTCTACTGAAACGTAATGTGTACAGAGCCTGCAAAGCATGAGCCACAGCATAAACAGCATTGTAGACACTGTAGCTGTGGCCAGTCATTTCTATTTCAAACAAAGGGGCAGGAAGATCTTCTAGCTTCTTCTGCCCAGCGCACAAATTACTATCCATTTCTTGTAATTCTATTTTTGGAAATGAACAATCAAATGCTTGTTCCCAAACATCCTGCAGAAACCCATATCTGGGGATTGAAAGAGGATTGATGGTCTGAAGAAATTCCTTGAAACCTGCAACATCTGTGGAATGAACAGTGAAGGAAATAGCCCCATGGAACATCTGCAGATCCCAACTGACTTGAAATCCAGATAATATGAAATCAATCTGTGCAGTCATGATCCACACCTTTCTAAACAATGCAGTTTCCTTGCTTTCAGGATCTACCATAAATATGAGAGCTCTTAGGCCTGTAATTGCCCAGGATTCTCCATAGACGAGAAATGCATTGGCTTTGCTATTCATCATATTAATGTAGATAACTGTGATTGCTTCATAAACTCCTGAGAGGTCTTCCACATGTATTAGTTGGGGAAGCCTTTGTACAAATGATAAACATATTCCATTCTTTGAAAGTAAGGGCTTCATTTTCTGTAAGAAGTTTTCTCCATTGTTGTTATCAACAGCAAAAATCCCAATCCATGTCCATTTGAAATGGTGAAGCAATTGGATAATTCCAATGTACTGATGGTCCTCTTTTGGGACCATGTAATAAAGTGAGGACAGCTTACTGGTCTCAAATGCATCTTGGGCTAATGAGCCATATGTCAGCTATAAGAAAGTGGAATAGTATTCTGTTGAAATATTCAATCAAATCTATTTTGCTCTTATCTAGCTTTCATATGAAATACATCCAAGGAACATTGTCCCTAGAATTCTTCTAAATGTTAGTGTACAAAGGAATTTCTTGGAATTACTTCAAAGACATATCAGAGAACAATTGTTTTAATGGGTTCACAGAATACTAATCCATTCTTCCCTTAGGTATGGAGTGTCTTTGGGTACTCACTTCCGGTATTTGGTATTATCGTTTCAGAAAAGTAGAACTAATTAGTAGACCTTTAGCCATGCAGAACATTTTAATACAAACCTAAGCCTAATCTTTGATGGTCATGAAATATTCCATAACAAATACATTAACAACAGCAACAAAATGTAGAATTTCCCTCCTCAACCTTATCACAGCTTACCTGTGGCATCTTGAAGAAACCTATAATTTCACCTATATAAGATGATGTTTCAAAATCCAATCCTCCAATGATAGCCATGAGATTCTTCTGGTTGTCACATTTGTAGTTAGGGACAAATTCCTGGGATTTGAAAAGCAGGTCCAGAGTGGTGCGATAGGTCATCCTCGCATTCAGGTAACTGTCATAGATGTGGAACCCAAGAGTGATGTTAGGTAAGATCTGGGAGTCTTCATTGATCTCCTTCACAGCAAAGGCCAAGGCAAGGACGTATTGATGAAATTTCGTGATTATACTGCAAATGTTTTAAATACCCCAGATGAAAAAGTAAGTTGACAATTCTCATCATTTCGGTATGAATAACAAAAAAAATCTTTCTCTGACAGTAGTAAAGAGATCATCACTTTTTCTCTAATTCTTAATAATTTCTACAGAGGGATTCTTGGTTTTCTCTGAGCTTGGTGGTTTTCTTGCAAACATTTCATTATCCATGGTAGGTAACATCATCGCTGGCTACCACTGATAGTTTGGATAATGAAATGTTTGCAAGAAAAGAACCAATCTCAGAGAAGCACCAAAGACTCCTCATTTCAACCCTGAGCTACAAAAATTCTCTTTATTGGTAATTTCTACAGAGTTGAAATTTTCTTTTTACATATTATTTCCATGATTTGCAACAAATAAATACTGCAACATATACAACTATTGACTTTTTTTCCCAAAGTACTCTAGTTTCTAAAAGATTTTAAGAAAATGTTGTGTGAATACATTTAGCAGGTATCACTCATTAACTCTATGTATGTTTGTGAGCAGAGATAATGCCAAGCCATTTTAAAATTACCTTAACCTCAGTAGATGTTCAACAACATGTGTGAATGTTCACATGTGTGAAAAAAATGCAAAGAAAATTATTTCTTCTGCCAAAACCAGATACATTTGAAAGACACAGAAAGCATAGATTACATAGCGAAAAAAAATTGTACACAAACAAATTTTTACTAATATAAGGGGATTTTGGAGATTGGCTAAGATTTGATAGCAAAAAATATTCTTACATTGGTGGCTCGTAAGGTGTTCTAGCAGGATGTTCCCTAAATTTCATTTCATAAAAGTGGTAAATGATGTGAGACACCATCCCACCAATGATGAAGTCTCCAGGCTGGTACCACTCATGTGGAACAAGGAAAGCATCACTTGCAGGGCAGCTCAAAGTAACTACTCTGTGCACCAAAAACATCAGGAGAAAAATCTTCATGCTTTTGTTATTGTGGGGATGCTTTCTCTTCTACTCTACCCATAGGAAAGTACAATATATATATTCTAATACTTCATCTAAGATTAATCCAAAGATTACATTTGAGAATGCATCTAAGGAGAAAATCTATCATTTTCTGTTTGAAGATCCATCTGAGTACAAATTTGTATCTTGAATACCACAAGGATTTGAATAGATATTTTGGCAGGAGAGAACAGAGCATAGAAACTTGAAGCAATGAATCTAACAGAGCTCTTAGTACCCCTCGTGCCAATTTCCAAGTGGTTCAAGACTTACTTTATAGCCAAACAAAAGCCTTGATTGTTGTTGAATTTTAATACCCTTCTGTGCAGCCTTTGCTGCTTAGGCCATTTGAAGAAAATATGGTGATTCCAGTAGGAGATAATTATTTTGTTTTGATCAGATAGTAAGTGACTGATGCTTCAGGTTTTTTTTTTTTTAATGAGCAAAGGCTAATGAAAGTAGCATGAGGAAGATTTGCAATAGAATATATATTTAATTGTTGAAACTGTAGGAATAAAAATAGTGCTGTTTTTCAGGATAGCATATTTATTTTCTACCAATTTTTTCGCAAAATAGAATATGAACAGATCCAGCAAATATCAGTCCTTTATTGTATGTATTTTTTTTTTGTGAGCAGAACCTTTTAAATGAATTAACTTAAATTCACTAAAAAATCTTCAAAAGATTTCTTGCACCAAATTTTCATACATTCTATTGGAAACAATTTAACATAAAATAAACAATATTATTATCAGGGCTGCACAGTGGGGGTGGGAGAGGGAGCTGCGGGGGAGTATGACAGGGAGGGGTACCATGAGGAAACAAATCCAAGCCTCATATCATCCTATGAAAATTGCTGGCCATTCCATGATCAAGCAAAGGAATACAGCCAGTGGAGTAGAGTAGACAATGACTGTTACCCAGAGGTGCTATTCAGCAAGTTCTAACAGGTTCTAGAGAACCGGAAGCGGAAATGTTGAGTACTTCAAAGTATCGGCAAATACCACCTCTGGCTGGCCCCAGAGTAGGGTGGGAATGGAGATTTTGCAGTATCCTTCCCCTGCCATGCCCACAAGCCACGCCCACCAAGCCACACTATGCCCACCAAGCCACGCCCACAGAACCAATATTAAAAAAAAATGAATTCCAACACTACTGTTTCCTTAACAATTTGTAAGCACATAGTTGGGTACTTCTTCATAATCAGGGGGTGGAAGGGAACAAGGAAAAGTTTACCATATACTTTGGGCATGAAAATCTCAGATCCAGTTTTGCTTTTTCTGTAACCATTTGTCTTTATAGTAAAGTATACCTTTGGCTAACCATAGGTCTAAGACTCTTTCTTTTCTGACTGACCAGGGTGGGACAGCTGACATTTATTTCTTCTTCCATGACCAGAAACATTTAAAAGGCAGAGAAATTATAGATTAGAAATAAAGCCTACATTTTTGCTCAAACACCTTTTATTCGTATAAGAAAAAGAAAAAAAGCCATTTCCGATGGTATGTCTTTTCCAGGGGTGTCAAACTCAAGGCCTGCAGGGCCACCCTGGAAACAGCAAAGGACCAGCCTGTGATGCCTCTGCCAGCAAAAACAGAGCTGAGGAGGACCATGCGCTGCCGCACAGCTCCATTTTCATTAGTAGAGGGTTGCAGGAGGCTGTCGCAGCCAAGAACAGAGTTCGGGAGGGCCACCTGTGTGCCCCCCTGACCTCCATTTTCACTGGCAGAAGGCTGCAGGAGGCTGTTGCAGCTGAAAACAGAGCTCAGGGGAATCATGCACTCCCCCCCCCCTCTCTCTCTCTCTCTCTCTCACACACACACACACACTCAAACACACACACACTCAAACACACACACACACACACACACACACGGATCCATTTTTGCTTGCAAAGGACTCTTGGAAGAAATATCCTTCTGGGGTCAGTTCCAAGTGGGGAAAAAGACACTGGATTCATGGAAGTTGCTTGGAAAGAAGATTTATTGATCAACAGGATCACATGGCTTCCTGGGCTCCTGAGTTCCTGAGCAGAAAAGGTCAGAGATGCTGAGAATGCCTTGGTTTATGCCCTCTGTTGGGCTTTGAATTTGAGCTTGATTGATTGTCACACTCCCATGTGGCCATGCAGGGGCAACTCTGTAGGCTGCCTTGAGTCCCAAGCTTAGTTGAGCCTTGCTGGATGATGATGTAATCTTTCCAGGTGCCATGTGGTGAGTTCTGTTGCTAGATGTTTAGAGGGCTAATCCTAGCTTTGTTGGATCTTGGGTGAGGACATTTGCCTATGAATAGATCTGGCTACCTCTTTATCTCTTAAGTGAGCATACATGTGTCACCTTTATTGCAAGAGTTGTATTGGGTGACAATTTGCTTCTGGATACATTTCAAGGTGCTAGTTATCACCTTTCAACCTTACATGGCTTGGGACCAGGTTATTTGGAGAAACGTCTCTTCCTGATCCCATCCATGTGATCCGGTAGAGCAGAGAGGCAGGGAATGTTGTGTATCCTCTCTCTTAAGTAAGGACATCTGGTGGGACCCAGAAGAAGTGTCTTCTTTGTGATGGCTTCTTCCCTCTGGAACATCATCCAGATGTAGATAAGATTGGCTCCTACTTTAACACTCTTTTGCAAAACCCCGAGCACCCAATTTTCCCAATAGGCCCATGGAACCCAGAGTGGGTTGGAGCCCATCAAGTGCCTCAACTGGCTGATTGTTATCTCTAGGGGTGTATTTTTATTGTTTGTATTTTGGGTTCTTGGCTAAAACGGGCTGCGGGCAGCCCCCTACATACAATGGTACATCATAAGTTTTTATTCAAGAATGTTCTTTGAATTTCAGGTTATCAATATCTGGAAATAACAAAGGACCGGCCTGCAGTGCCTCTACTGGTTAAAACGGGTTGTGTGTAGCCCCCTACAACTCATTTTCATCCTCCATGGTGTCGTGCCGCATTTTGCTGGCCAAAAAACAGCCCAAAAATGGCCAGCAGAGTGCAGCAGGAGGTCATGGAGGGTGAAAATGAGGTGGAGGGGCGGCCCTGATCTACGGGAACACCCAAAATTTTACCCTCAGATATTTTCATTTTTGTAATCCCTCCCTATTTCAGAGACAAGGGTACATTTTTTTCTAGGATTTCCACTGGATTTCACCTTTGCTTTTATTGAAAGTTCCAAACTAACTGAAATCACTCTTTATTATGGACTTTGTTCAGCACAACTTTGAATAAAGGATGAGATAGAGGAAAAATACATTTAATTCCATTCCACCAAATTTCCCATATTATTGAAATCTGGTAACAGGTTGCCATGAAAAAAGATTTATGGAGAAAGAGTGAATGATTATGATCCAGCATGAAAGTCTTTTGTTAAATGCTGTTAAATGTATCGGATTTTCAAACTCAATACATTTTCATTTTCAAAGAAGCCTAAAACATCCCAAACTGATATCCTATAATGCTGTTCTAAATATATATCTTTGTAAAATGGTAATTAGCTTTTTACTATATTTATATAGTGCTTTAGGAATTGAAAGTATAAAAGCCAGGAGAATGTATCTGCAAACATGGAACATCGTTTGAGTCAATATCTCAAATATCTTAACAGGAATCAAGAAACCTAGATTATCAAAGTCAACAGGAGGCTTGGAATGGGGAAAGGATTAGGTTAAAGAATCTTGGGAAATGATGGAAATACAGCAACATCAGAATTTACTTTGGAAAGGCCAACCATAATAAAACTTAATAATCACCAATATCCTATATAAATCATTATTTAACAGAAATAAAAATGTATGTTTCTAA